TCAGGTGTCACGGCTGAAGACACAAATGCACAGAAGAAATGCTTTATGTTTTAATTCTCCCTCTCATTAGAAATGACCTAAATCACATGGAATTTTTTTTCTCATAATCCTGTAAGTACAATATGAGATATCAATCTATGGAGATATTCATTAATTTCCAAAAGATACACCTCTCTTGCAAATAGCAGCCTGTAGATAAAGGACAAGTCATGTCGTATCTCTAACAGGCTTAAGTATTTCAAATGTCAAAGTAGCTCTTCTATTTGTGAAACCATGGCACAAAATTAGCTCCATGGCTGAAAGCTACACACTGAGCTCAGGTTGCACAGAGAGCTATTTTCTGGTGGATGAACTTGTACTAGAATAACTGATAAATGAGAGCTATCTCCTGAACTTCGGGGCTTGAACTCACGACCCCAAGATTAAGAGTTGCACGCTCTACTGACTGAGCCAGCTACATACTGTAATCTCTTTAACTTTTAAAAAGCTACCTGGAAGAAAGTCAGTAAAGTTCTGTGAAGGAGTATGCTTTTCTGTTTATTACAGGCGACCATGTTTGTTCAGAGAAGTTAAGGAGTAAAAAGGTACGAGAAGGCCCCCCCCCCCTAAGGGGGAATAGAAGGGGGGGGGAGACTTTCCAGAGAGGCTGACCCAGGTGTCTGTCCTGACACTCCTCTTCACTGTGATCACAGCCCCTCTAAAGGTTGCTCCTCAACTCTACCCTGTGGGTATTCCATTGATAGGAGTCCTCTTTTCTCCCCCATCTTTCCCGAATAAGGAGTAAGAAGACAATCCTCAACCCATTAAGACAACCTGAGTAACTCCATCTTCTTGCTCAGCACACAGGATGACCCGTCACACAATCCTATTAATGTTTTTCTCCCAAAGATCTTAAATTTCCTCTCTCCCACTTTAGTCTGGGGACTAATGAATATCTTCCCAAAGAGGAGTTAATCCTGCACCATGCTTCTTGGATTTGTTGATCTTGGTACTCGTAATAAGGTGAGCTGTTGAGAATTTAATGCAACATAAGAGGGAAAATTAACCAGGTCATTTTCAGTTGTTTCAGAAAAAGTATACTCTGCCTATTTTGATGAGGGAAGACTCTTCTACTGCATTTCTAATTGGTTATTGCATTTCTAGATGTAGGAAAAGGAGACGCTTCTGTGATCTGGAGCCTATTTAGCTGAGCATTTCTGCATTTTCCTGTGGGCCATGAAGATTTCATTGCCAAGTAAAGGGGAAGAGAAAGAAAAGCTGGTTCTTGTTCCAGGGCTAGGGAGAGCCTGCCCCGTGGTGTGGGCACAAGTTCCAGAGAGACACTACCCTAAGGAGAGAAAAGAGGTGCCAGAAATGGAGTTCCCATGGACAAGGAGTTCAGGAATGCTCTGCCAAGTACTCTCTGAACACATACTTTGAGTTGGGATAGCTGTGTAACTGTTGGGCTGGGGTAGAAAGTGAGGAGGAAATAGTTACGAAGCAGTTAGCTGCAGAACTTTGGGAACCTAGCAGAGGTGTTGGTAGCCTAGGCTGGGCCTGCAGCGCTCTCCACCTTTTTTTTTTTTTTTAATGTTTATTTTTTACTTTTGAGAGAGACAGAGACAGAATCTGAGTGCGTTAGGGGCAGAGAGAGAGGGAGACACAGAATCTGAGGCAGGCTCCAGGCTCTGAGCGTCAGCAGAGAGCCTGACGCGGGGCTCGAACTCACGAGCTGCGTGATCGTGACCTGAGCTGAAGTCGGACACTCAACCGACTGAGCCACCCAGGCGCCCCAAGGGCTGTCCACCTTTGAATCAACTGCTGGAGCCTGGTCAGCCCAGCACCTGGAACAGCCAGCCCTGGTGGAATGAACATCCAATGCCCTTCCTCTCAATATCTGGGCCACGTAAACCCTAGACTCTAAAGGCAAACCCAAGGGAGAGGGTAAGGCCCCTGACATCCATGAGGTTCTTCTTGCTGCTAACATATCATCTTTCTACTTCAGTTGTTGCCAAACTACGTGGATTGTTTTTTCTTTCTTTTTTTTCTAGAAGTCAGTGGACGCCCTACATGGTGACCATCTACCTGAAGACTCAAGTCAAACCTAGAGAGGCAGACCGGAGAGAAGGGAAGATAGAGACAGAGCCCTAAGGACATTGTTCTGAGTCTCTGCTTACATGGAGTCCCTGAACTCAGGTGTCTTCCTGGACTTCCTTTTCCTGGTTGCCTTCTTTGGGTTCTATTCCTGCCACTGATGAAGATCTAATTAATATAAAAGGAAAAAAGGTAAGGAATTTCAAAGGGAGGTCATTATTTGAATTCATAGCTGAAGTTAGGGGAGATGGAAATACGTGTACCTTTTGAAAGAAATGCGATAGGGCATGTGTAAAGGACAAAGGCAGTCATAAAGGGAGGGTTATGCTGAGAAGCAGCATAAGTGAAGGGAGGAATTTCACTCAGAACAGAGATCTGGCAGAAGTGAAGGAGGTTTTAACAAACTCTGCAGCCGATTCTGAAGCACACCACTGTTCTAGTGTTTTAATACATAATACACCTGTGCTTCCTGACTATCAATTTTCTGAAAAAAGCCCACTTGGAAAATTTATGTCAATAATGCTGAACTCACAGGTGCATAGACAGTAAACAAAGGATTATCTTTACTGGTGGGAAAGTCATAGACAGGCTACCTGAAGGATGTAGGGTGTATCTCAGAGGTTGGTACCATGTAGTTAATAGATGCTGATTATGATCAATAGATTTTAAAATTCGGTGAAAAAAATTCCATTCTTCACAATCTACTGTTTCCTGGAAGGAAACAGGAGTGAAAGACTTAGCCATAAAGCGGTCTATCTTTCACAATCCTCGAATCTTTCTTGGAGCTTACCTTTTTACCCTCCCCCACCCCCTTTCCCAAATTGTCCCTATCATCTTCTAAAAAAAAATTTTTTTTTGAGAGTGCGCAAGGGAGGGGCAGAGGGAGAGGGAGAGAATCTTAAGCAGGCTCCAAGTTTAGTGCACTATCTGACAATGGGGCTGGATCTCACAAAGGTGAGATCATGACCTAAGCCAAAATCAAGAGTCGGATGCTTCACTGACTGAACCACTCAAGCGCCCCTTCAATTGCTTAACTAGTGAAGTTTCTTAGGAACTCAAGTTCTTAAGACAACTCAAGAGTTGTCTACACTTAAGCAAAAATGTTGTGGACTTCAAAGAAAAATAACCCGTGGCTTGTCATTCAGATGAACTACAGCTCCCTTTTCAAATTGTGACTACCTCTTTCAAAAATGGCTTGATGGGGGCTAAATGTATTTGTAAAAGAGCAAGTAAAATAGTCTCTCGCAGGAGTAGTTGTTAGATGCCTTTTTTGTGTACCGTATGTTTATCAAAAACACTGCCTGCACAATTTTAAGACTTTTTTACCTGTTATTAGAGATAGAAGACATAAAATGACCCTGTCAGGTGCTTTCCCTTCTTTAGCCTGGACAAAATCTGCATGTTTCTCTCCCCGCTACCCCAAAAGCTTCAGCAGTTATCTAATCAAATTCTGGCAAGTATTGAGTCAGGTCTCTATGTTTGTATTCAGTATCCACAGATCACCGATCTTATTCTGTGGATCAAAAACGTACAATATATTTTCCTTTGCAGCTGTGGTCAGAACATCTTGGTAATTTGTTTCCGTATCCGAGAAGAGTGGAACAGAGGATATGTGTGGACAAGACACTACCGTTTTGGGGAATGAGTTCCTCATCTGTGAGTATAGTGAACACTAAGGCTGCACAACAGGAGGTGACAAATTCGGAGGCCTTCACGTTTCCCCTAAAACAGTGCTTTCTAGCCATAACACAAAATTCATTGGAAGATTCAAGAGGAAAAACTGGGCTGAAGTTCTTAATACTACCATTTAATAGCCTATCTGAAGATAGGTCAATCTGAAGATTGACCCCTGCTTCCGGATTCCATGGAGAGCAACAAGACTTAGATCTTTAGGTATTTTAGGAGTCTACAAAGTATGTATGTCCAGTTGGTTAACCCACCAACACATTATGTGTATCTACTCTCTCAACTAGCTAAACAGTACTTCCTGATGAGCATGTCCCAGGACTTGTGCCATCTTTCCTCCAAGAGTTCAACATTAAACTATCACCTATTGGTTCTGTACCTACACACATCCTATTGGTCCATAAAGACAGAATTGTATCACATGCATTTATCTTTTCTTCCCAGTGAATGAACAAAAAATACCTGCTGGCTCAAAGATGAATGGCATCCCCGCTTGGAAAACCTTTGGATACTATGATACAGGGAAATGCCACATTCATAGTTCATAGTTGCCTCTGAACCCCCTTTTAAGTCCCCAAAGAAATAAGGACCCTGAATAGCAGACTACTGGACAATAAGCAAGAAGTAAAGATCATGCAGTGGACACCTCTATTTGGCTTCAGATGTATTAGCCAGCCTGTAGCCACTCTGTATTTCTAACTTTAATTGCATTACCTGAACACACATTTGCTGGCAGACATGGACGAGCAGTTTGGAAATAGCCAGTCTATCCCAGACCTCTTAGTTATGGATCAGGCAGCAATGAACGCGTAATAGAGATACCCCAGGAGACGAAAGATCTGGGCTCTCGGCCAACATTCTTCACTTATTTGCCACATGACCTCAGGAAACTCCCTACATTGCACCAAGTTGCTTTCTCAAGAGTAAAACAGAGATAACTTAACCGTCCTGCATATATGACATGCTTACTATAATGTTCAAATAAGAAAGTGAAAATGTTTTATAGAATCGCTAATCAGCTTAGCCAAAAGTCTTCCGAAGAAAAGGCAGGGACTATGAAGCTTAGGGACAAAGGCCCAGGGATAGCAAACAATTTCAAACAACGTTTCCAGGGCATGAATATTACAGTAAAAGCCACTAAAAAACTCTGATATTGTGAAATAACAGTCCTATAAATGAGGGTATATCACAAAGTTGACAAAGATTTCCAAAACAGATAAAATAGAAGAGTAGACATTAAGTAGTTTTAATGAATCCACTTCCTTTATTGCAGTAACCTCTGTACAAGCAGCAACTGCAATATTCCACATTAAAACGTTAGAAAAGCAGGTGTGTGACAGTTATAGTACAGTATTATCAAAATATTACATTTTCAAACTTAGTAGATCAACATCCACCAGAGCTCAAATCTTTAAATTATTTCCATAGTCTTTAAAAATATGTAACGTCAGAAAGCATATAAAAAGAATGTAAAAGGAAACCTAAAGTACAAATGAAATAATGTAACAAATAAATATTTGATTTAATTAACCCTTAATAATCAGCTTAACACCACCATTCTCTCTAAACCCGGTATTTACCTATAGAAATAATGAACTGTCCAATGCCATTGCATATTTATTTCCAAGTTATCACCAATGATTAGAACTAAAAAAAAAATGGCATTAAAATAATCAAATTCAGCATAAATAAAACAGAGTAGAATAGCTTCAACACTAGCTAGCATCTCTAAGAATTGTTGAAATTTATTAGAGTACTACAACAACCTTGAAAATTTTGACCTGGTGTCTAGTGTTAAGTGAAAGTAATGCATTTTTTTTTTTAAGTGAAAAGCTTCTTACATTATTTCACAGACAATATTACCCTCCCCCCATTATGCATATTTAGATATATTTTATGTACTTTATACACATATGTATGATGCATGACATTTGGTTCCTGCAGTACAGATCACAATGATGGTTTCCTGAATGGGAAAAATTCCAAAAAAAAAAAAAAAAAAAAGTAAGTGTACCTGTGCACATTTCAAGATAGCAGCACTCAATTCATGCCCTATTATCCATTTAAAAAGTTCAAACACAATATTGTTTACTGAATAATATGACACTTCTACTGTCTTTCCCCCAAAACACTACAAAACCTGCAATAAAATGGAACAATGCTGTGAGTTATAATGTAGGGAAAAAAATTTGGAAAAACAATTACTTCATTTTAACATTCTGAATTCAAAATTATCATCAGATCTCCACTTTTCTATTCATTTAGTTTATGCTCACGCAGCAAAAAGACTGCACTATTGACAACAGTAGTAATTTTATAGATTTCTATCAAGATTCATGAAAACCTGCATACATTCTTCACCACGGAGACTTATGCCAATGAACTCACTGAACAGTACTGTAGCGGACGTGTTCTCCATTTTCTAACTGAACAGTAACTGTGTGAAGTTACATGCCCTTCCAATGATCACCTTTGTTCTCCAGGAAACCTGTTACCTTTCAATCTCATTTTGAACTTATGTTTACCAAAACAAAAAAATTTTAATCTAATGAATCTTGGATCACTTTAAAATGCAAAAACACCAGCAACATAAACGTCATTATATACACATATGCATCTGCGTATGCATATATGTATGCATACACACATACATATATGCAGACATCTATCCCTTGAAATGTTTTTAGGAAATCCTTCCTTGAATAAAAAATGAAAAACTTCACATTGATAATTGTATATAAAGCTTTTAGTAACAGTGCGTACGCACTGTCAAAATTGTACTAGTAGACTATGATGTCAAAACAGACATTCCAAAAGCACAAACTGGCAGTTTTTCTTAACACAAAAGTTTTAAAGTATTAAGAATGGATTAAATTTAAATGTTCAGAATAATCTGTTCAAACCTGAGTGTATTAATTAAGACTAAGTATACTTGACAATTGAATGAATTAAGCCTAAAAACATTTCATTAAGAAACCAGTGGTCCATTTAACCATTTGATGAAACATTAAATATTTTAATGATTTATAAATGATGGTACAGTGGGATTCCACATATTGTTTACTGAAATAGTCTATTTGATGACATTATTTTATCTAATTTTCCTCGAGGAAAGTCTTTTAGCATTTCTTAAAAGTCCCTCAAGATTTGAGGAAAACTATAAATTAGGACAGATCTCCCTTCTAATAGATACAAATGATTTTGAGGACTTTGGTCTGAAGAATGACAACAGGAGATTTTTCAGCATGGTATATAGAAGTACTGGATAAATCTTCAATCGTCCCTAAGATTTCAAATAAAAATACAAATAGCCAATTAGAGATTAAAAAAAACAAAACAAAGAAAGGTTTATTGGGTCTTTTTTTCCTAGATCTACATTTTATATAAACCCACAGAAACCTAACCTTTGGGGTCACTTTTGGGTTATTATTTTTTTTTTTGCATTTTTCATTAACTTGCCCTAATTCTCATCTTTAGTATCTAACAGATACCTTTAAAAAAGTAATAGAAAACATACAGTACTCAACGCTAATTGGTCAATGGAAGAAGAAAAGCAGTGTCCATTTCATTTCACGGTGGAAGAGACTAGAAATAAAAATAACAGCTGACAGCAAAATTTGACATTCTATAAATTTATAAAAGAGGATATATGGATGAAATTTGGTTAATTTCAGAAGGCACCTCAAGGCTAAAGGCTTTTTGTACTCCTCTCATTAATCAAAAAATAACACACTTTTATTGCTATTCAAGTAGCAAAGGAAAACTTTACTCTCATGAGCTTCAGTCCAGCAACAAGGAATCATCATCATTCATTCAGATTGAAATACAGACTTGACTAAAACTGAAGTCTCCATACACGGATCAATGGAGCAACTTCCCTGTGTGCTTTCAAATTAATGAAATAGTGAAAGAAAAGTCACAGTTCGCCATTGTGATGTTAATGTGTCATTGAAGATTTCAGTTACTCCACTGGGCACTCAAGTACCATCTGGAAGGCTGTCCACTGTGTCGGAACACTTAAGAATAGAAGGTAAGGACACTCTGATGATTCCCACGGACTAGGAGAATTGGTGGTAGGTCCTTTGATAGAGCTTCTAACCAGGCCATATAGAGAGCACTTGACACAGCACCTTTCCTAGCAACTGGGAGACTCCTGGTATCAAAAAGAGAAAGGAAATTAGGCAATGCATTTAAGTTGAAAATAGAAAATGTAATAAAGATTATATATGGAGTCCCTAGTAATAGTAACTAAAAATTACTTTGGTTAGTTACACATTGTTTTGAGCGTGGCAAATTCTGAACATAGCGTGACAATGACTATACTCATAGATCACTATTCTCCCTTTCACATGTCTGAACAAAAGATTTTTAAAATTTATCCGTAAGAATAGAAATAAGTATTTCTATCAACTGTAGCACATTTTATATCTAACGCTAAACTTCACATTTTCCCTTCTTCATTAAGGACAGAATTCTTTTAGGAGAAAGGGCTGTTTCTATCTGAATTGTGAAAGCAGAAACTACACATGGATAAACAAAACTGAAACATAATTAATTCTATGTATTAATTTTCAACTTATTTCTCTGGGCTTTCATTTATTTTCTTAGTGTTTATTTTTGAGAGAGAAAGTGCGAGTAGGGGAGGGACAGTGAGAGAAGGGGACAGAGGAGTTGAAGCAGGATCCTGACTGACAGCAGTGAGCCCAACACAGGGCCCGAACCCACGAACCATGAGATCATGACCTGAGCTGAAGTCACTCAATGGACTGAGCCACTCAATTGTCTGGTCTTTCATTCCTATTTGTAGATAGTGGTAGTAGTCACCAGTTGCCTTATCAACTGTTTCTCTCTAGACTTCTGTTTTAGCATATTCCATTACAGTATGTGATCATTAGCAGCAAAACTTGAAATCTTCTGGGTATTGTTTTTTGTTAATCAAAACAACATTTCTCTAGTATTATTTTATTTCATCATTTGGGATGTTTTTGGAGGACTGAGCTTTTTTTTTTTTTTTAAACCTATTGAAGGACCCAGGCTCCATGACAGAAAATTCAGGTTCAAGTAATACCTACCGAATCTGATTTAGTGAGGAAAAAAAAAAAAAAAAAAAAAAGCTAGAGAGCATTAACACCTATATTCAATGCAAGGACAGAGTGTCTGTATGTAAAGTTTGTGTGTGGGGGAGCAGATTCAGACAGGAACCACTTTTTACATTAAACCCCCAAGGTAACTTTATGGTATTATTTCAATGAGGATGCTGCCTGGGGTCTACAATTTTTTTTTTTAAGATTTTTTAAAAATCTAAGGCAAGTTTAATAGTAAAAAACTGATTTGGAGGGGTGCTTGGGGGGCGCCTGGGTGGCGCAGTCGGTTAAGCGTCCGACTTCAGCCAGGTCACGATCTCGCGGTCCGTGAGTTCGAGCCCCGCGTCAGGCTCTGGGCTGATGGCTCAGAGCCTGGAGCCTGTTTCCGATTCTGTGTCTCCCTCTCTCTCTGCCCCTCCCCCGTTCATGCTCTGTCTCTCTCTGTCCCAAAAATAAATAAACGTTTGGAGGGGTGCTTGGGTGGCTCAGTCATTCATTAAACATCTGACTTCGGCTCAGGTCATGATCTCACAGTTCGTGAGTTAAGTCTGGTATCAGATGAGCTTGAGTGCTGTTTCAGGTGAGCTGGGCTTCTCTCTCTGCCCCGTGCTTACTTGTGCCCTTTCTTTCTCAGAAAAAAAAAAAAAAAAAAAAAAATTATTTTAAGTCAGTACAATCCACCCCTCAATGTCACACTCAAATTCACAACCCCAGATCAAGAAAGGCACGCTCTACAGACTCAGCCAGCCAGGTGCCCTCCACCACCTCAGGGTCCAAAGTTTAACTTGAGGTCCTCATACCCCACATATGATGGAGTGTCCTCAAAGCCAAGGAGTTTTTAAAAGGTGGGAAAAAGAAGAAAGGAAAAATTCCATAATAAACTATTGTGGTAAAGAATTACTTAGATTCATATAAGCTTAAGATTTTTGCTTTTCTTTCCTCCTACCTTAAGTGATTTTTCCGTATGCTTGAAGTGTATTAACAAAAGTTTGTTTTTCCTACCTATAACCACTAGATCATTACTGGGAAATATATACGTATGTACTTGGTCTGGCAATTAATCCTAATCGCATTATCATAAAATGAATACCGAAGAAAATCTTAGTATAGACATTACTTACATGACAATGATATTAGCTGTACTTGAATGTTCCTTTAGTAATTCATTTAACCTTATCTGCCGATAGGTCTGAAAGGAAATAAGACAAAGTCATTCCTAGGCCATTGGAAAAGTGGAATCTAGTGTGGTTCATAGAACTATATACAAGTAAGCAAAAAGAAACCAAAATAATTTTGGTGTAATAAAAGTCTCTGTTCCCTAGTTTAAAAAAGACCTAATGATTTACACACACTGTTCACATACAGATGCAACTTAGAGGAGACTGAATTCACAAGAGTGGTTCCTCCCGTAACAAATTATAGTTGTTGATACTTCTATTTTAACGTATTTTTAAAAAAAATCAATGGAAGATTAATGAAAAGAAAGCAGAAGAGAAATAATACCTTGGTCTTATAAAGTTCAAGCTCATTATCTGTTATTCGCCATGGCTCATCTTCTTTCATTTTATCTGCAATATCTTGTTCTTTGTCATCTTCATGAAGTCTATACGGCTCAATCATTTCATCAAATGCTACAATACTTAAAAAAAACTGACAATCACAATCTGAATTACTTAACACTAAGATCGTAAATGCTAAATTAGAATTTGAGAAGTCAGTGTTTTCCATCTCTCCTGCTCACTTCCACACCCTAATTATAACCATCTCTTTGGCAACTTATTCAGAAAACAGCCATCTCTAGTTTCTCAAATTGATTAGAGATTTACAACCATATTCACAATAACAGAATTGTAATTTGAACTGCTAACAATGATCTCTCTGTATCTACTCCCTGCTCCTATGCCGGCCCCCCCCCCCCCGTCAACCTACATACATTTCCATCACCGTAGCTAAAATGATCCTTTTGAGCAATACGTCAAATTGTGTTGTTCCTTTACTCAAAATATTCAAAACCTTTCCTAGTTCAAGTACCACTGAATGAAAGGAGCAGTAGTAGGAGAAAAGGTACTAGAATACTGTGAAGGGAGGAACACACAGATACTTAACATTTAAGAAGATGCACAATTAATCTCTAGATACAAAGATAATTTAACAGGATAAGAGACAGTAAAAGAACATAAACACTCTAATCCCCTATGAATGTGAAAAATATTTTTCAGTATCAAGTTTCGTACAAAGTTCCCGGCATATATTGTTTTATAAAAGGAAACAAATCCTTCCCTGATTATAAGCTTACAAAGTATACCTTATTATTTTCTATTTAAGATAAATTCTTTAAACCAGCTTCATCATTTATTCAACAATTTACTTGAGAATAATTAAAATTATGCCTGGTAACATAAATATACATATTATTCTAACAATCTCTAGGTACCATTTTCAGGTAGATTATTCCATGAGTATACTTTCCCTTGACCCTTGAGAATTCTGATTGCAACTATTATAGGCTAATTTTTGATTCTCCTATTTTACTAATAAGGCAAAACAGTGAAGAGTAATATATAATGTGGAGTAGGAATTGAGTGAGTGGTGGTAATGAATATAGGCATGAACAGTGGAAATTCAAAGAACCATGTGGAATTTCTGTGGCATTAGGATTTTCAGAAATTACTTGTAAAGCACTAACTGAATTCCCTGAAAACTGAAAGCCCTTACACTTACTTTAGTAACAGCTACAGGCATGCCAACTGTCAGTACCAGATTTAAAAAAGTTGACTTCACATGCTAACAGCAGGTAAAACCTCCAGGTAATTAGTTTAAGTTGAATGATCTGTTACTGGAATATGTGAGTAGGTCATCCATAAAAGAATCAGTTACCTATACAGAGTAATTTATCCAAGAACTTACTTTTCTTTCTTTGGTTTAGTATTAATATCTCCTAAGACCATGATATCAGAGAAGTCTATCCGGAACTTACTAAGCAAAGTAGCCATCCTAAAACAAAAATGAAAAGCATTGAGATACATAAAAGCTGCATCTATGTATTTTTATTCCATTTCAGGCTGCATCGCTGTATCTGAAAAGCATCATTTATAGGAAAACCGTATCAGGTGCTGAATAAAGTTCATCTGTGTTAGTTCACACCATACATTCAACTGAGTAGAACTCAAAATTCCCTGAATAGAGACTCCCGTTATATTCTTTCACTTTCTCTGAATCGTTCCTTAGTATCCAATCATGAATGGAAAGACAGTAATAATGAAATTTGGAAGGCAACTAGTTTTTAAATTTAATTTTTGTCACAAGGAGTCAGATACAGGCTTTCAGTTACAGAATGAACAAGTCACGAAGATGAAAGGTACAGCCTGGGGAATATAGTCAATGGTATTTTCATAGCGCTGTACAGGGACAGATGGTAGCAATCCTGTGGTGAGCATGACATAAAGTGATATGGAATCACTATGTTGCCCGCCTGAAACCAACATAACTATATATGTCAACTGTACTTCAGTTAAAACTTTTTTTAGACAGATTATATTGGTGACTATATGGATTTCCGCAAAAACTAGTAAACAGTTGTTAAGTTTAATTATTTTTCGATTCTTCTTCCATCCAGGAAGAATGCCTATCTCAAGACCCAAACAGGACTTTTGGGGGCCATCAAAAGCTGTAACTAATGGCAGATCAAGTTCACAGCATTTTTGAGGGGGAGGGGGACTGGGACAGACATGAAAAAGAAGCTCCAGCAAGCCTCTAACTTTTCAGTAAAGAAATACCTTTTCAGAGGCATAGATGGCAAGGAAACCTTGGTGGCACCAACAAAAAAGTGGAAAAAAACACAAAGGAAAAGCTGTCAGCACAAGGGGATTCTATTTTTAAGAAAACAGAGTTTTCTAAATTAAGACATTAGAAAACAGACTCGCTCCAGGTTTAACTTTTGAATTATTTCTAGTATTTCTTGCATAATTCACTATGTGAGATGACTCGACATTTAGTTGAATTCCAGTGTAGATCTATTAAGTGCCTGCTATGTGTCACTGGGCCCATGAAACTCAAATCTAAGATACAAAAATAAATTAATACAGTACCTAGAATGCAGAGAGTGATACCAAGTATACCGTTACTGAGGAAGGAAGGGTAACAACTAATGGGGAGACAATGGTATAAAAATAAAACACATTAGGGCAAGTGTCACAAAGAAAGTGAAGACAATGCTGGACTTGAAAGTCTGGAGTGTTTCATGAGAGGAGCTGTTTACAGTAGAGATGAGAGCAGAGAGGGGTACAAGCCTGAGACAGCATGTGTGTTCAGGGCAGGTGCACCAGTGCGCACCACAGTGAGGGGTAAGACACAGTGTGGAGAACAGGACAGAGCGTTTGGGCTTTGTCATATTTTAGCACAGACTTTCTATGGAATGTAACAGAGAGGAAATTCCAAGTATTTGGGCAGAGGCATCTTATAATCAGAGCTCTACTTTTCAAACATGAACTCAAGAGAAGAGTGTATAGTGTGTGCTGAAAAGGTCAGGGACGAGATGTGGGGTATGTGGCAAATCACTCAACCAGAAATAGAATGGGGACAGTACAGCGGGAGTAAGACAAGGGATGACCGCGGCATCCTTCATTTCTGTTGTCTTCAAGTCTACAGAATGTATCTCACACGGGAATATGTGATTTGGAGGCACATCCACTGATTTTTTACATGCCTAACATTTAAATGCTGCAAATCTTTAACAAAGACTTTCTAAAATGTCAATATGTGAAAAAATATTAGGAATCAGTAAAATGATCTACAACTTAAACATAAAGATTAAATTAAAGACAATGAGGTTTTAGTTGTTTAACAAGATTTTCAGCTTCAGTATAGGACAACCTGACTGACATTTTCTGGACTGTGTCTTTTTTATACTATCAAATATACTGTAATAGTGAACTATGGCTAGATTAATGCTCTTCCATTTAAATGCACTTACGCTCTCCGGTCATGGTCTATTCGGTTTATTTTCCCACCAATGAACACTCTGATCTTACAGTCTTTCCACTTTTTCTTGGTAGTCAGAAGGTAAGGTATCAATAAGGTCAAACCTAAATCATAAAAATATAAAACATCATTCACGAAATGCTAATTTCTCAATTAAGACCTTTTAATTCAATTTATTCTCTAAAAGAATGTCTGCTACAACTCTGCATTAAACAATATTTTTCTATCTGTTCTTCCTTAATAATTCAGACAGAAAGCCATGAGGTAGGCCTGAACAAGGAGGGAAGCCCAATGGAACTGGGAGGTTAGTCACATATAGGAGGACTGAGGAACGGAGTATCTTCACTGCACCTAGTGGGAGCCAGGTTTCTCTCTCAAGTGAGAACTCCAAGAAGGAAGAAGCTGGATTAAACCCTGCAGTGTTTAAACTGGAATGGGTGTTCAATCTATACTTACATGTACTAACATATCTATGGTAAGTTTCTGAGACCCGTCTACTGAGAGGGCCTGGGAGCAGTGACACTGCAGTGGCAACGAGCGTATCTTTGTTTCTATATACCATTCTCCACTAAGAGCAGTCAGCGTTCCTCGGGTAAAAGGTGACTCAATGGCTGGTACAGGCAAAGTACAAAAGTAAGTCTGGAACATCTTATGATTGGGACATGACAAATGGACACACAAGTCAGACTACAGAGGATCTTGCTGCCCAAATATGGAAACGATCTGAACATCAAAACAAATAATGAGAATGACAAATCATCTCACACTGAATACAGTCTATGAGTTCACAAAGATAGAAAAAAAAGAGAAAGCTCTTCCTTACAGTAAGAAGCCAACTAAGAGGAAGAAATAACAGGATTCGAAAATCACCATTTGGCAACCACAAACACACCACACCAATGATAAGAGCAGGCCAAAGTATCAAAGGACGCTAAAGATGGTGGTAAAAGTTGTAGTAATGATGGTATATTTACCTAATCCAAAAGTAAATCCCCATCCACTAATATGTGTAATTAAAAAGGGGAAACAGTAACTTTTCATTCTAAAAATCTAGTGAAAACCACCTTACTCAATGGTCAAAGCTAACTTCACCAGTCATGAGCCAAAACAAACATCATGTCCCACTTGAGATATAGACAGAAGAGCATAGCGTCACTTCTGTAATAGTTCTACCAAAAACCTACATAATGTAAACTAATTATGACAAAAGATTAAATGGCACTTCAAATCTAGTGACATTCTCAGACTGGTCGATTAAAAAAAAAAAACAACAAAAACCAAAAAATATTAAGGTCATGAGCTCAAGAAGTAGGCAACTTGCAAAGTGAAGGACACTGAAGAGGTAACAGTTAAGTACAACACCTGATTCTGAAACTAATCCTGGTGCTTTGGGGAATGTTGACAAAACTTTGGGGTCTAGGGATGAAGAGGACACGTCATTTCTTAGTACTATTCTCATAGTCCCACAACTTCACTACATGTAAAACTGCTAAAAAGCACGGTAACAACCTTACCTCCATCATCAAAAAGCCACCAGACATCAATAGTATTCTTTCCTTGTTTTTTCTGAAACTGTGTACTAGCTTCAAGAAGCTTTTGGTCAGCTACATTTAAGGGCACAGCAGGGCCTTTGGATTCTAAAGGATGAAGCAGAAAAATAACATGTAAGGGAGATAAATATTCAAGTCTCTTTTGCTGAATTCCTATAATTTCCTAACTCTTGTATATTTAAATGTTTATAATGCAGACAGTTGTATATGGCATCCATCATAAGCTTTCAGTGGTTTATAATTTAAATGTACTTTTGAAAGACGTTCACAGATAAATACATCTTTACAACAGCTTAACTCATCCAAATTATCTTGCCTAATTTCTAATATTTTGAAGCATTCTTAATGAAAGAGAAGCATGAATACCAATACCAATCAAGAATATTATAATTGACTGAGATTTTTGAGAAGTTGTTTTACGCTAACTGGACAAATGAGGCTTATGCCTATTCCATGAACGTATCACTTTTGTAATCTTTTTCCTCAGTAATTTAAAGATGAAAAAATTATTTTACATAAAATGTCATCATTAATATAAGATCAAAAAATTATTTTACATAAAATGCCATCATTAATATAAAAGACAGAGGGAAGTGGAAGACGAATGAATACAATCTAACAATTATCACAGTGAAACCTCTGAGTCTAAGCAAGAACACCCTCATCTTTACCTAACTTGACCCCTTGGTTTGTGATGCAAAAAGCTAAAGCCATATAACCGCACATCTTTCTCTGAGGCACAGAAAGATGGTAGAACTCCTTGGAGGGCACCACGTGCTGCAGATCTAAAGAGCAATATACCAAGGAAGTTCCCATATTCCCAGGAATTAAAAACTCAAAAACTTAAAAAAAAAACCAAAAAAAAAAAAAAAAAAACAACAACTCAGCACTGACTCTATGAGCAAGCAAATGACTATTATGAGACTCCTACAGCAAATTTTTAAAAGCAGGAATCCATAGGAGGAAATCTGATCGTTTCTGCAGGATGTCTGTCATTCACTTCTCATGCTGCCATGATACACGCAAACATGACGAATGATTGTGCATGATGACATAATATGGCTGCCAAACCACACTGCTCCGTAACTCTCACCTCTATCTCCTTCTCATAAAAGTCATGCCCGGGGACATGACTGTGTATCTCCCAAACGCAGCAGGGCTGTGAGAAATATTGTAATTTTTGAAATGAAAAATATATTAGTATCAAAATTAAGGGCTTGGCTTGGTACACCTGATGGTAAAGAATGCAAGTGACACTGGCAAAGAGACCCATTTCAGTGTCTCTGTTTAGCACCTAAACCATGCAGTTTAAAATAAACTGGTATTGACAGTCAAGGTTTGAGTATTTCAGAAATGCTATGATGATTTAAAATAATTTGCCTTTGATATACTCCCTTTCCCTGGGATGACTTATACTTTTTAGTTGGACTAAAGATAATGTTTCTAATCTGCATTCAATAATTAACTATAGCATCACCTTGCCATGGAAATAAAAACTAAGGTAAAAAAAGAAAATAGCAAAGTTGGAATTAAAGAGTTAACAGTATGAAAAAGGGGATTAAAACAAAATGATGAAAAATGCCTGCCTTTTTTCAACAGTGGTTGAGTTGGAGTCTTGCCATCCTCTTCCTCATCTAGATTATGTTTAAAAAACACAAAATATAAGTTAATTGTCTTTATATTAATAATGAAAATGTAAATAGAGCACATTTATAAACAGAGCATAGTATGATGAGACAGTCTGTGAAAAATAATGAAGACTGAAAATAGATATCTTCTACACTGAGTGTTGAGGAGTTTTAAAAGCAAACATATTTTAGACCCCTCCAACAGGGCTACTGATGAACGCTCACCCCTACATTGTATTCCTGTAAAACTGACAAAAACTGGAACACGATTTTTAAACTTGTAAATGTTCATACTTGAAATCAGTTGAAAAGAATTTCAACTATGGCTTATAGAATTGAAATAGGACGTTAAAAACTGACACTGCAGATAACACATGAATTTTAAACACTGCCACTGCATCACTGGGTAAATGACTGAAAAGTTACTTTTAGAAACGTTTAATGGATATCCGGTCCTTGTAAAAACTAATCACCACTTGAAACAGGAAGGAATGTGATCAGAGACAGAGTCTTTTGGTTTATATAAAATACTATTTATACATATATACATCAATTGATATATAAAACATAAGCATATATATACATGTATATATGTTTGTATGCATGTACTGGTCCATCTGTATTTAGGTATCTTTAAGTATTTTCTTGGGGTTAACAGTTTTGCTAATCTCAGGTTCTTCTTCAGATAAGCTTATGTGAGGTGTCTGAGGCATGTAAAATTCCGGACCCGGACAGGGAAGAGTACACTGCTCTGGAGTCCAGTGGCTCCCAGGATTCCAGGATTCCCTCTAACGCTTCTCCTGGCTGCGTCAGCTTGAAATGGTTAGTTAACTCCTCACTTTCCTTGTTAGTAAAAGGGTGAACAATACATACCTCTTCAGATCATTATGCTGCAAGCATTAAAGCCCTTAGCTCAGTGCCTAGCACAAAGTAAGTATTCAAAGGGCACTCTTTCTGGCCCCTTGCATGCTGTGTGCCACAGTAACCAAGAAAGACATACCGAACACCTATAATTATACGGTGACTACACAAGAATGTTTCTAATTCTGAACACCTTTAAATTATATAAACTTTTCTACAGTTTCTATGTTAATTTTGAAAATAACTGGCTACATAGAAAATAAACACAAAATAAAATTAATGCTATTTTTGAATGCTAATTTCTTATGCCTCTTAGGGAACATTTCAATTATTACATTTAATTTTATAGGATTATGTATTAGTCTTATAAAGTAGATATTTGATACTGTCTTTGATGATAGTAAAAACAACAATTATAAATATAAATGCGGACATTGTGTATTTATTTCAGAGAGCTCAAAAAATGTTAAGGAAATCCTGACACTTAAAAAATAATTTACACTAAGATATTTAAAGGTATCTGAAGGTAATAAAGCTATTGACACTTTCAAAATAAAAAGGTGAGCAGGTATGTACTCACCCCAGGTTCCTACTCTAAAAATAATGACTTCCCAAGGCTGTGGCACACAGTAATGAGCTAATGTGTAGAAAACACCTACTGCAATGTGAAAGGCACAGAGTAGATGCTTGATGACTATTACTTCTTCCTTTCCCATCATAGTTTTACCTATCAATTCCTAACAGATTCGGTAAAGAAAGGATCGGTTTTAGGAAAAAGGAAATGATAACAAAAATAAAAAGAGAAAATGAGAGCATGTATACCATAAACTAAAAGTAAATGCAGGAACATTAAAAGCAGTTTTAGCATCTTTCATAGAGTTTTGAGATGAAACAGGAAACAAATTATAATCAAGCCAGCAAAGAACTTAAAGGGAAAATGGGTCTCAACTAAAGCCTCAACTACCACTACTCTGAGCAGCCAATGTAACTAAGGAACAAAGAAATATTAAGTAACAGCAGTGCTTCTACGTAATCTGGGAAAGATCGATTTCACGGTGACAGGATTTGTCCAAAGTGATCAATTCCAGAAAAAGAATGGTAATTGTTTGATAGGAATCAAAAAAGCATGATATGGTTTGATGATTTACAGTGCAGATTTTTCTTGTTGCGTGCCAGCTGGGACCAGGACAGATGGAGATACTGACTGAACAGAGGTAGGAGAGTGAGGGCGGGAGAGTAAGATTTGGAAGTCATCCCTCTTTCCGTCTTGTAAACATGACACAGATTTATGGATGAAATTATCTCAGCGTCTCAGGAGATTTGGAGATCTTTGTGTGGCCTGAACCACATGGGCCACCAGGGGTAGTAGGTGTGCAATTATGGCCAAACAGTTCAGTAACCAAACACCAATAGCATGTTCCTTCAGAGACTGAGTGAGGAATACAACTGCATGTGATTTTTTTATTACATGGTTTTACCTCAACAACTCCAGGTGCAGTAGATGTAAAAAGTATTCTAAATATGTCAGCACATAAACAAAATCCCTGGTATTTCAATATCTTGATTTACAAAAAAATTATGTAGATTTGTGGTCAACTTCATTTCTTCCAGGGTTACCTTATGCTCTATCACATTACTCTAAAATTACCATGTTACTTCCCAAGTTCAGATTTAACCTAGGCTTTAAATTAAATTGTTTCATTTAAAGCATATATAAAAATATACAAGCAGGTATTAGTGTAGTGTATAATTAATTGGCATGGCTTCTGTTCTATGATCGACTTTAGTATTTTAAAAATAGCTAATCATGTTGTAGCCATCCATTTTACCTCATCTACTAGAAATGAACAGTACAAATGAGAGAATGGGTTACTTAATAAGACATGTTATAAAATAAAAACCATTTCTCCCCAAATTAAACATTACCATTAATAACATTTCTTGTCTGAATAAAAATTACCTTTGTGTGTAACACTTTTCTCATCGGATGGCTTGGAGGTATCTAAATCCGATTTTTTACTGTACTCCATACTTAGTACCACATCCTTGACACCGGGAGATTTCTCTTGTGAAGACAATAATTCTTCTATGGACATGAAAGTAATCAAATTATTATCTAAATCTTATTTTAACCATTAATGAAAGCACCATGGTATACTGATTAAATAACAGTTCACAGCACAGTTTAGGAAGAAATAGTAAGTTTACAGTACATGATTTCTTAGGTAAACAAATGTGATAATCTGTTTTGAAAGAACTATTCACTCAAGTATCTTGAGCCACAGCTAAGTATCAGACATGTGAATTAGGTGCTGAGGAAATAGTAATAAGTGAGATTCAAAGAACATAAAAGTGTGGCAGACAAAAGAATAGTGTATAGAATGTGAATAAATTCTACTCTCAAAGTCATTTACAGATGTAAAAATTGTAAAATGTGACAAATGTTCACATATGTGTAAGATGACAAACAATATTGAAAAATTATACCCCTGACTATAGAGACAAAACCAGGACATCAACTCAGGGTAGAGTACCAGTTTTTCATTTTTAAAGCACTTTCTCCATTTTGTATCTTTTGAGAAGTAGTTAGTAAACAGTTAACTTCCACCATGAAAACATGCGACACGAAGACAAATGTCATAAACTGATCGGTGACAGATAATCCTCATCACTGATTTGTGTGTATGATGAGAAATAACAAGGGAAACAACTATGCTAAGAACTTCACAGACATTTCTTTACAACAACCCTATGAAATAATCCCGTTTTTTAAATTTTAATGTTTTATTTAAGTATCTCTACACCCAACGTGGGGCTAGAACTCATAACCCCAAGATCAAGAGTCTCAGGCTCTTCTGACTGAGCCAGCCCAAGCACCCCAATAATTATGTTTTAAGATATGAGGAAACTGAAGCTGGGAAGTCAGCAAATTTGCCCAGGCTACAGAGCTATGTACGAAGAGAAAAAGCTGGGATTTTCAAAGGAGATCTGACTCCAAAGCCTGTGCTCTTGATCCTGTGCTGATCCAAATTCCTGTGTCCAAATCCTGATGACGAATAACAAGACCTTCGAAACAATTTTCCTAATTGAAACACATGAAAATGTTTTCTTAAAGTTCTAGTCAGATTCCAATCACAGTGGATTACACAACTACATATGTAATTGATTAGTCAAATTGTCATACTTTTGAGAGTGACAGGGAACACAACTAATTGTGCAGTTAACAGGTACCCTAAACCTCAATTGCTGGCAGCTCACGAGAGAACTGAAACAGTATTTTGCAAGGCCTACTCCGGAGTAAGAAAATGCATTTTCAGCAAGCCATACTTTTGTGTTCCATGGATAAAGACCTCAAAGCGTTCCTTTCAAAACTGCACAATACCCTTAAAATGGTGGGAGGAGGGGGAGGATTACAACTGTTTAAATATATAAACAGGTGACAAAAGTTCATGATGTGCCTCTCAGCTATTTAGGCTTAGCTATTTTTGATGATTTAGTTAATTAATTGATAAGGGTGAAATATTAGGTATGCAATTTCTTAAACTTATAATATTTGTTAAACTACCAGGAAATCATCAAAGGGTACAGAATTTCCCAGTTTTTATTAAGGTGGCAAAAGTAATCAGTATACCTTAGTTAGGTTTAAAGTTTCATCTAAAAACATTTTTTTTGAATGCTTTAAAAATTACATAGTTGGAGAGGAGATTAGTGGGTATCAGGGGTTAATGATGGGGGAGAGGAAGGGCATGGTGGGGCCATAAAGGAGTAGCACAAGAGAGATTTTTGCGGCGATCGAACAGTTTTGTATCTTGATTATGGTGCTGGTTATATGGATCAACCGCATGTGATACACGGCACAGAACTATACACATGTTCATGAGCACACACACACACAAGTTTTAAGTAGAACTGGTGAAATCTGAATAAGGTGGGTAAATGGTCACAATGTCAGTTTCCTGGTTATGACGTATAATGATAGATATTCAATATGTTACCACTGGGAGCAATGGATGAAGGGTACAGAGGACCTCTCTATTATTTCTTTTGTTACTTATTATGGATCTATAATCATTTCAAAACGAAAAAGTTATGAAAAATGACTTATAGGGTCTTTTCTGAAGACACAGAAAATGACATTACCAAGTTCAGTTTTCATTATTAATATACCTGTGTGTGAAAAAAGTATGACCTTCATAAACATGAAAATGATGATTTAGCAGTCATTAACATTTTTTTCTCTATAGTATTTATCATGTATTTTTATAAATTTGGCCCATCTAAAACCATAACTCATGCTTATTTCTCTTAAACTTATGATTTACGCTGAATTTTATTCTCTCCATTAATAATCACCAGCCATCATCCAGGTTGGTGCCAACTCTGAAAAGATGGTGGAGCTGAAAAGATCTCACTTCCAAATGCCATACAGTAAGTACATGACACAAAACAGATAGTAAATGTTAAAGTTATTGAAAAATCTGTGAGAATGACATAGAACTAACATAGTCATTTATATTTTTAAAGTAAAACATTTATTCAAGCAAGACTTACCTTGTGCTTGAAGATGAGATATATCCAGACCCTCTTTTAGGCGGATAACCACTACTCCATATTGTATGTCAAAGGCGTCACTATAATGGGGGTGGGGGGAGAATCAAAATCACAAAAATGTTAGTGTCCTCCTCTATAAAATGAAGGCAGTAAGAGATGATTTCTAAAACACCTTCAGCTTCAAATGTCTTATTTCTAACATATGCTTTTAAAAATACAGTGAGACCCATATAATGTCTGCTTCAAATTCTATACCATTCCCTTTCCTTTCTTCTATAATACTCTTAAAAATGAGTTAAGTGTACATCTTTATAGTCTTGACACTCTACCTACACCAGACATTTAAAGCATGCCTGTACTCCTATGCTATCTGAAACAAACTAAAATTACGGAAAAATAACATTCAATATTCCCACCATACTTAATTTAGGCTTACACCCTTAAAGCTATGAGAAATACAAGAAGACAAAGCAAAGTGATTCCACTGAGAAAGAGAATAGGTTGTAGAATATAAAGGAATGACTTCTGAAAGAAACCAGAGTATTTTTAAGTAATTCTCACATTTTTACAAAAATGTTTAAAAAGGTAATACAAAGATTTTATATGCATTTGTAGACACGCGTTCATATGTCAAGTTTTTTAAACACAAATGGGATCATCCTATAACACATGCAAAATATATTAAAACCTCAAAGACAACTCTAAAACCAGACTTCAATTCTGGAAACTTTATGTTGAGACCATGAATCATGTGGATTCAAGTTTTTCTAAAATCTACTGAAAGAATTACAAATTCCTAAACTTTGGGTCATTCCTGGAGTGTAACAGGCTTGAGTTTTATATTTCGTTATTATTTTTAATTATGAAGCAACCAATATTCATTATACTCAAACAATTACATTCAACCTAGTTCCATGTAACCAAAAGAAAGGGCTAAAATGCTAAAAAAAAAAAAAAAAAAAAAAAAAAAAATCAAATTTTTGTTCCCACAGACACAAGAATACCTATCACTGTAAGAGATGTTTTATTGGTTTATTGATGTTTTTTGTTTTTGTTTTTGTTTTTAATCATGGGGAGACAATTTTGGCTTCATTCCTATAATGAATTAGCTAAGGTCTGAAGAGATTCATCGGAAAATTAATGGACACAGTAACCTTCCTCAGCTGTATCCTGAAAGACCTAACGCTAGAGAAGAGTAACTACAAGTATTTGAAAAAATAGTTAATAAATCACAAATGACTTAAAATCAAGGTCCTTAAAGAAAAGGCAGTGAACACAGCTTCCCAAGTTTACCGTGGAATAAAGTAGCTAAATATTTTTGCTATAAACAAAGAAATTTCTCTAAGCTATAATTTGATTTGGAGTTTTAGTCTCTCCATGCTGTTACTAGGCATAGTAAATTAAGTAAACCTCAAGTGCTCAAAGTATTTATAATCAGAACCAAAACTTAAATGTCACAAGATAAAAGCATAAGCAGTATCACTGCTTTGAAACTGACATCAATTTCTATGGCTCTGGAAACCAGAAAGCATCATTTTGCCTCTGTTTTAATTGCTGCCTGCTGTTTAATACTTAGAGTAATACTTGACCCTCAGAGCAAACATTCACTTCAAGTTCCTACAAGGTCAAAGTCAGAAAGACTCCTTTCCTTTCAGTGTTTCCATATGAGCAACTACAACTAACAGTGGAAGAATTCTTTGTAAAAATGTCACTTTTTCTACATTTTAGGATAATTATTCCATCTCACTGTTCTTGCATCTTCAGAAAAGAGCACAGTCCACGTCAGATGGCCCACATGATTTAAACGTTCACACTGTCCTTCCTTTCCTAGTCCTCACATATGCAAAGTGCATAGGACAGAATTAGAAACGTAGGATGAAACCCCAAAGCTAAAGAGCAACCATAGTAGGTCAAAAATCAAAAAAGCTTTAATTTTACTAAAAGCATTTAATAATTACTTGGGAAAACTTATTCATTCTATACTTTCCTAATCAATACGAAGAGATTTTTTAAAAAGTATAACATCTGGTTACTCCCTCAAATAGATTTCAAGGTAGCTATGGACACAAAATTATCATATGTGATCCAGGTAAGTATTTATGGCTCCAACAGGAGTTCCAGTAAGGGAAATAACTCTACTTAGTTAAGGATAATCAGATCAAAATTCAGAGAAATAAGATTTGAACCTGGTCATAGAGCTACTTTGCCAAACACATTTTTTTTTAAAAAAGCACAATTGTATGTAAAGAAAAACAATATATGAAAGAATGAACAGTTTTGTTTCATCAGTATCTATAAGAAGAAGAAATTATTCTTCAACCAAGGATTGTGGTGTGGGGCACCTGGTTGCCTCAGCTTGGGACTCCTGATCTTATGGTTATGAGTTCGAGCCCCATGTTGGGTGTAGAGATTACTTAAAAAAAAAAAAAAAAAAAAAAACCCAAAAAACAAAAAACAAAAAAAAGAATGGTGGTGTGATGGACTCCTAAGTATGGAGAACAGAGGGGAGTTGGTGGAGGGATGGAAAAAAAATAGGTGATGGGGATTAAGAGTACACTTATCATGATGGGCACTGAGTATTGCAGAGAATTGTTGAAACACAATATTATACACCTGAAACTAATGTAACACTAAATGTTACCACTGGAATTAAAATAAAAAAACTTAAAAATATAATGGTAGCAGCGCCTGGGTGGCTCAGTCGGTTAAGCATCCGACTTTGGCTCAGGTCACAATCTCACGTCTCTTGAGTTCAAGCCTCATGTCAGGCTCTGTACTGACATCTTGAAGCCTGGAACCTGCTTTGGATTCCGTTTCTCCCTTTCTGACCCTCCTCCACTTGTACTCTCTCTCTCTTTCTCTTTCTCAAAAAGAAATAACATTTAAAGAAAATTAAAAAAAAACCCACACAATGGTAGTGTGAAAGGGAATCCTTATCCTCTATAAAACAGTACAAATGAGATAAAGGGACCTGTTAAGCAAACCCAGAATACTAGGAAAAGGAAGTATTTCAAAATTAAGAAGAAAATTGCCAAAAATAACAAGTTTTATTCTTTTTATTAAATAACTCACTTAGTTCCAACAAGCATTTGTGGTGGATTAAACAGATACATTCATAAAAATCAACTATAACATAAACCAGCTCAAGTCAGAAAGACAAAGTAACAAAAAAATAAAAAGAATGTACCAGACAATCCATAGAAGGGAAGATGAAGTAATGTTAAACCAACATAAGCTGTCTGATAAATATCATTCATTTAAATTACACCAAGAAGTGAATTATAGACTCAAAATCTACACTTCACAAACAGGTTGAAAATCAAAGCATGTAAGTACACTTAAAAAATGTAAATGACTGGGGCGCCTGGCTGGCTCAGTCCGTTAAGCGTCCAACTTCGGCTCAGGTCACGATCTCACAGTTGGAGAGTTCGAGCCCTGCATTGGACTCTGTGCTGAGCCTCCTTCAGAGTAGGTGTCTCCCTTTCTCCCTGCCCCTCCCCTACTGTCTCACTCTCTCTCAAAAATGAACATTAAAAAAATTTTATTAAAAAAAATGCAAATCACCTAGTGCATAAATAAAGTAATAACATGTAAATCAGTGTGAGAGAATAAACCTAACCATCTGAACGGTGATATAAATGGTGAAATGCCCTCCTCAGCACCAGATACTATAATGACAGAACACAAGGTGAGAGGTCTGACATTCGGGAAATCTGCTCAGCAACAGCTATAAGGATACCCCAACTCTTCCTAACTTGAATGAGAAGCTAGAGTATATATGTCGTGTGCTCATTTGCACACGTGTGTGAATGTTCAAATGTATTGAGAGAGACAGAAACATCAATCAAAACATTTTGTGAATAGCTCGTCAAGTGACAACCCAGATAACCGCATGTGATTCTTTTCATTCTTAGGCTTCTACGAGAAGAGAGCGTATCAAGAAAACAGGCTTTGAAAACCAGTGCAAGTTTTCATTTTCTGAACCAAGTTCCTGGATTAAAAGGATACTTACTGAAATATGTTTATGTACATATCCACATCTCTCATATCTGCTTGCAACCAATCTTTCTTAAATCCAAGGACAAGTGTGTTTGGTTTCATACGCCCAAGACCAGCAGCCTAAAACAAAGGAAAAACACAACTTTCAATACATACTATTCAGCAAAATATTTTATAAAGGATCAAATCCTCCAAATAGGCGGGCTATAAACATTTATTTTTTTATTTTTATTCTTTTAATATTTATTTGAGAGTGTACATATGTGCTCTCTCTCAAAATAAATTTAAAGATTAATTTTAATCTTTATTTAAAGATTAATCTATTGAAAGATTAACAATTAAATCTTAATTTCAAGATTAAATTAATCCAAGTATATATTATGTGATCATGTGCCAGACACTGTCCATATGATTTGGGATAGTTAGCAATATCCTAACCATATAAAACTTAAAATCTTTCTCACAACGTTCTCTCCATGCACAAATTTCTTTCAAAAAAGAATCTCTATCCCACTAGATATTAAAAACAACTCTTTACCTTCATAGCTAAAAGATAATCATTGTTTTTTAAAACTATCTATTAGGTATCAAGATAGCCACTAACCACACAGATTTTTTTCTTTTTCTTTTTTTTTTTTTTTGGTAAAAGCAAAGCAAGAAACATCTTTGAGTTTTAGAGCTTTTTAAAGAACGAGGCTACAAGATAACCAATAACTTACTGATGATACAAAATAATGTCATTTTTATTCTCTATTTCATCACAAACTTTTGTCACAACATAATAATTAAAAGGTTTTATTTTTATAAAATTAACAATAACACCCTGCGGCACTCTGTCCACTTGTTTCAACTTCATTATTTCTTTTTTTTTTTTTTTTTTAATTTTTTTTTCAACGTTTATTTATTTTTGGGACAGAGAGAGACAGAGCATGAACGGGGGAGGGGCAGAGAGAGGGAGACACAGAATCGGAAACAGGCTCCAGGCTCTGAGCCATCAGCCCAGAGCCTGACGCGGGGCTCGAACTCACGGACCGTGAGATCGTGACCTGGCTGAAGTCGGACGCTTAACCGACTGCGCTACCCAGGCGCCCCTCAACTTCATTATTTCAATAACTTTCCCTTGAATGACTGAGCAAAGAAATTTGAAATGTATCACTCATCCCTAAATCCTTTGTAAATTCTAATCAAAGTAGTTATTCAGTCAGAAGTAATGCTTTCAGTTTCCATAAAACATCCTGTGTTTTAAAGAACAATTTATTACTGAAAATATGTCTTCTCTGGAAAACAGATTTCTTTAATGGTTCATAAAATCAGTTTTTCATGGAATTCCATAATTGAAACTGATTTGGCAAAATACAATCCTCTGAAGCTTATTACAAACGTCTTTAGTTTCAAATATTCCCATTGTGTTGTTTCTCTGGATCTTCAGCAATGTTTTCTATGCATCTTTCACCAGAATTTGCTGACAAGAAATGTGTTTTAGTTTGTTATTATATTTTCCTATGCATCATCATAACCATTTTTACTGCAGCAGAAAGAACTATTTCCACAATGGTACACAATGGCTTTTTATTTCTGTCTTTCACTATTAAGTAAAAATATTTCCAATCATGATGGTTACCTATTGAAATGTAGTCAAATACTGCTCTGAGATCTGTATTACTTTAAAAATTACTGAAAACAATACTTGTAGAGTTTTGGCTCCATGTCCTGGATGGTTAAAATGTTCAGCCATTAGGGATAGCTTTTATTTTTTTTTTTAATGTTTGTTTATTTTCAAAAACAGAGAGAGTGCAAGCGGAGGAGGGGCAGAGAGAGCAGGAGACACAGAATCCGAAGCCGGCTCCCGGCTCCGAGCTGTCAGCACAGAGCCCCACGCGGGGTCCAAACTCACGAACCGCGAGATCAGGACCTGAGCCAAAGTTGGAAGCTTACCCGATTGAGCTACCCAGGTGCCCCCAAATTAGTGATTGCTTTAAATTATCATTAGTTAATTTCTCAGGGCACAATATTTCTTGTAGATGTGGCTATAAGACATAATTTGTACATAATTTATATTTCTAATACTCTATTGGTATAAGAATTAGATTATTATGATCTACTTATTTCAGAAGAATTTAAAAGAACTTACCGTCTACCTCAAAAAGTGGCTGATGAAGAGGAAAGGTCACAAACATTCAGTATGTATTAAAGAGTATAATTCTGGGCTATTTTTGTGCAGGAAAAAAGGTAAAGTTATGTCCAGAGTGAGACTGTGAATAAGACTCACTTGATTTAAAGGGCCCCCATAATGTAATCTGTAATCTGAATTTTCACTAAGGACAGTAAGTTTTTGCTCTTTGAAATGAGGGTTTAAAAGTGACTGACAATTAAGTGGCTCCTGCCATTAAAAAAGAAAACAGAAAGATACAAATACACAAGGAAGCTAGCAGTGCTACTGGAGAAGAATGCCTCTTTTTTAAAATCGTGAATCTTGAGATTTATTGTGGAGCCTGGATACTTAAATGCTAATTCAATGATACATGAATGCTTATAATCAGTAACTAGATAAATGAGAGAGAAACGAGAAGAGAGAGCATAAGTAAGGTAGAGTAAACATGTTCAAAAGCGGTTTTTGACAAAGATTATAAACCTCTAATAAGACATACAGGCTTTTGCCACTGGATGTTAACAGGTTTCCAGAAGGTACAAAAGAAAGAGAAATACTGTCAGTGACAATTTACACTAAGAAGTCAGTGATTAATTCTGCAGAGATAATTCTCCGATTTGTAAGTTTGTTTTACACAGTTACTCAGACAGCTCTGCCACTATAATCAAGGCAACTTCTTGGGCATCTTAGTGAAATGCTTGCATCCACCAGTTTATAGGCCACTCTCAAAATACTACCATGCGCTATGCATCCTACCTTTATCCCCACACTGCTCAAATGGTCTAGACCCACTGGGGTGAACATGTTAGCGGGAAGAAGAGTGAGGAGGACAATGGATCCTAACACTCGTCAACAGTGTCATTTTTGCCACAGAAACCCTTAAGGGCAGAGGTTCTCAAACTGTAGTGTCCGCACTGTACCAGGAGCAGTTATAGAAATGCAAACTCTCCCGGCTCACCCAAGGACCCACTGAGTCATCCCAAAGGTGGGACGCAGCAATGTGTTTTAACAAGCCCACTACATGACTCTGACGTACGCTCAAGTTCAGGAACCACTGCTCTAAGGAAGTATTTTCCTTCCTAATGCCTCTTAAATACGTAAAGTGGTTCTAGAAATGTTCCTACAAATCGCACAAAAGCAAGTTAAGATTTACCCACTACAAACAACCTTATGACCAGAAGCAGAACTTTACTTGAAATATTTAAATACTTTACATAGAAAAGCAAATCATTAAATAATCATGTACGCATCACCCAGCTTAAGAAAAAACATTACAAACACACTTCAAACACCCTATGTATCCTTGTCACGCCCTCTTTGTATTTTCACCATTTCATCATTTAGGCATACATACATACATATACATGTTTAATTTACGTATATTTAAAATTTTATATCATCTCCATATTGTTCCTGTCTTTTTACCTTGCTATTTTTCCTTAGCACTTTCTGTGTTCAAAGTTTATTCCTACTGCTACGTATAACTAATTCCCTTTTATCACTATATAGAATTCCACTGCATGTTTATACCACGATCTTTCAATTTGTGGCTGATGGCTGTTGAAGTTACTTCCATTTCTTTTTCACAAATACAAATAATGCTGCTACGCAATTTCATATAGTCTTCCCTACACGTGTAAAAGTTTCTCTAAGGAACACACGTAAGAACAGAATGTCCGAGGACACGAACACTTTGAAAGTAGAGGACACTGCCTGACCCAAGTGACTGTGCCATCTATGTTACTATGGCAGTTCAAAGATTTCCAACTGTTCATATGGCTCCTAACACTTGGAATTGGCAGACTGAACTTCGGAGTTCAACTTTTTTGTGTCTCACTGAAATAAAAATCCTTCCCTAGCTCAAAGTCATAAAATTATTCTACATTTTTCTTCTAATAGTTAAAAACTTTGCCTTTCACATTTAAGTCCTTAATCCCTCTAGAAATGGTTTTTGTGTAGTCTTTGTAAAGATCTATTATTTTTTCACACGAATCACCAATTGCCCTAGCTGATCCTTTTAATTCTACTTCCATATATATTAAATTTTCTATATGAGGGGCTCTATTTCTCCTTTCTGTTTTATTCCATTAACCTTATTATCACTAATTCAATACCACTATGTGTTAATTACTAAAGTTTACGATGAGACTTTATATCTACCAAAGTAAGCCCACTACCACCCCTTATTATTCCTGAGGCTCGCCTAAGACATTCTTAATCCTGTGCTTGTCAAGTTTTATAAAATATCTAAACAGAATATGCAGGTGACAGCACGCTGAGCCTCCCACCTCTGCTTTAACAGAGCAGCTCTGCAATCAACACAGTGAATGGGCTTCTGGTTAATCTTTCTTTTGAAGAAAGGGGTTCCTATAAAAAAAAGATGGCCAACATGATCCCAACCCATTTAATTCTTCCCATAAACTTCAGGGCTGATTGAGGAAACTGAGCTTCAGAGAAGTTGAGGAACTTTCTCAGTAAAAATTCATAATAAGGAAGTGGTAGTGCTAACATGTCAATCTAGGACCAACTCCAAATCCCAAATTCTGACCAGTGTGTCATACACAAAACTGAAAGTGAAATCTAAGTTTAGTAAATAAATAGTGAGAAATACGGTAAGGAACAAGAAATTTTAAAGAATTAAATAAGGACTGCCATTAATTCATACTTACAAACTAACCCCAGTGAGGTACAGCAGAAAGTGAAAGGGAAATGTCTTAGGGAAACAGGCTAGGATAATTTCCAAATAGGTTTTCCCCGGGTTGCCAAGGGCACATTATTTCTTTCATTCCTTATGCTCTCCAATTACACAAATCTTAGTAATAAAAATATGTTAAAAGATTTACCATTTTTATTGATATGAAGAATGAAACCTAGAATGTAAAAGGTTTTTCAAAGGTTACAAAGAACTTGAATTCTGTTATTTGAAAGGCAGGACAAATTTACCTGCATCAAATACTGTGCACCTTCTCTCAAGTCATCTGCATGGACTGGAGCATAAAAAGCCTTCATCTTGTTCTTGATAAGCCACCGCTGATATTTGGCTTGATCAATGGACATCTCTTTCATGGCTTGTCTTCGAGGGCCCTTTTGGAGAAAAATATTAATAGTATCATTAACTGAAAGATCATCTACTCCACATTTATAAAAATCACCCTGTTACTTCGGCCTGAACAAGCTGCCTGCACCTGGGGCACGGGGAGAAGAGGAGGACAACAACATTGTATTTTCCTGTCAGTGAATCCTTTTCAGTACTGAAGATAATGACAGTACGGGCCTGCGTTGCAAAAGTGAAGGCATGGGAGGGATGGGGGGTGCCACTAAAAGGGAAAAGCAAAGAGGAAGAAATGCACACTGAAAAAATAAGAAGGTTTCAATACTAAGTAAATGAGAAAAATTAGAAATTACTAAAGATGGAGAAGAGATTACATGGAGAAAAATAAGAGCCTTCTGCTTTTCTATTTGTTTGGTTTAATGTTCTATTTCTTTTAATTTTTGAGAGAAAGAACATGAGTGGGCAGGGGATGGGCAGAGAGAGGGAGAGAGAGAAAGAATCCCAAGCAGGCTCTGCTTGTCAGCACGGAACCCGATGGAGGACTCAAACTCACGAACCGTGAGATCATGACCTGGGCTGAAATCAAGACTCAGATGCTTACTTACTGAGCCACTCAGGCACCCGAGCCTTTTGTTTTTCTACATAAAGTTTCTCAGCTTGTTTTCCCTTTGTCCCCAATGTTTGCGTTATTAATTCTCAGTAACCTGAAAATTCACTGAAAACAGAAGTTTGCTGTAAAATATAAATGCACTTTTTTCTTCATATTTCTGTTAGTTAAATGGTGAAGTAAGAGAATTAAGGAAATGAGACTTCAACTTGCAATTCTATTTTGGTTCTTGCAAGCAACACATAAAATGTGTTATATGCAAATGTATAAAGCAACAATCTAAAAGTAGGTTTAAGAGTACACCCTCATTGTACATGAAAAAGTATAGGAAAAATACAATTTGTTTTACAGAGGAAAAAGTTAAGGAATACTGCCCCATTTGTAATTTCCTGTGGTCAAACCCCAACTTGAAATGTTCAACTTGGAGACAAACTGAAAACCTCCACAGGTCCCAAGTGGGGTCGGTGTCTTAATGTTCTCCCCCAGACATGGCTTTGACCTTGCTACCATATAAGCAGAGGAGCAAATGTAGCACAGGCTGAGACATGGGGTGTCGAACCCAAATTTCTACCAAGATGAACAAAACAGTTTGGAAGAAAAGCTAATCTGACAAATGCTCCAAATTTCTCACAAAGAACAGGTGATCCATTGTCTAACAATCAAGATGCCAAAATCATAAAAACTACTTTTGGATGAAAAGTTTAACAGTATTTTTAAAATGGTATTACTCATGGTTAAAACAAAAAATAGGCAATTAAAATTAACACTGTTTGAACTTGGAAATACAGCATTCACTCTGCCCTTCTTATATATTGGATACTAGATACTTACCAAGATTTGTCTACCTCTTCCAATTTTTTTTTCCTGGTAGTAAATGTTCCCAGTATTCTCAAAACATTATGAAAAATGTCAGTAAGAAAATACACGTATTTCAGGGTGCCTGGGTGGCTCAGTCAGGTCATGATCTCACGATCTGTGAGTTCGAGCCCTGCGTCTGGCTCTGTGCTGACAGCTCAGAGTCTAGAGCCTGCATCAGATTCTGTGTCTCCTTCTTTCTCTGACCCTCCCCCGTTCATGCTCTGTCTCTGTCTCAAAAATAAAACAAACATTAAAAAAAATAAATTTTTTTTTCAACGTTTATTTAGTTTTGGGACAGAGAGAGACAGAGCATGAACAGGGGAGGGGCAGAGAGAGAGGGAGACACAGAATCGGAGACAGGCTCCAAGCTCTGAGCCATCAGCCCAGAGCCCGACGCGGGGCTCGAACTCACAGACCGCGAGATCGTGACCTGGCTGAAGTCGGACGCTTAACCGACTGCGCCACCCAGGCGCCCCAACAAACATTAAAAAAAATAAAATAAAATACACGTATTTCACTTAGGCTCCTTAGTTACCAAGAACCTACTTTTCTTACCCAAAACCTTCTGTAACAGAAATATAGTTTCCTAAAATCTCATAATAAATAAGAAAAAAAAAAAACAATCAAAATTCTCAAATCTTTGCTAAAGTCAGGATCTCAGACAGTTTTGAGGCAAAAATATTTTGAAGAAAATAACTAATTTCAAAATGCCCAAAGAAACTCAACAGACTCATTTTGTCAAATTATTTCACATCTAAAAAGTCCCATGAATTACAAATTACATACACAGAGTAAAGGATGTTTTAATATAGAAAACAAAGCGAACACTTACCATATGTACATGACTACAGATCATCAACCCAACATTTTTTGTGAAATCATGAACAAGATGAAGTAAAGCTGGGCGTGAGTTTGGAGCACCTGTCATAACAAGACACTGCGGCCTAATTTAAGATTAAAAAAATAAAACAAAATTAGAGTTTAGATTTTGATAACATGCAAAGGTTTTACATTGCTTCTCTAAGAATGTGTTATTACACTAGAATCTCTCCTTTATGTAATTGTTCTCAAGACACAGGCCACAGGATTCTCAACAGAAGATGACTTTCAAGCAGGGTTTCTCGGTACATGAGAAATGCATGAACAAAAACTTCTAGGAACAAGTATCATGCCAAATGATTACACAATACTTGGTAACATTACACATCAAAATCCTGGTAGGTATTACAGGAAGAAATGACCATGGTAATTAAAATATTCATAACAGGAATCAGAGGAAGATGGCCGCGTAGGAGGACGCTGGGCTCACCGCGTCCTGCTGATCACTTAGATTCCACCCACATCGGCCTAAATAACGCAGAAAACCGCCAGAAAACTAGTAGAACGGATTCTCCGGAGCCAAGCATAGACAAGAGGCCCATGGAAGAGGGTAGGAAGGGCGGAGAGGCAGTGTGCGCTACACGGACTGGTGGGAGGAAGCCGGGGCGGCGGAGGTGCAGCCCGCCCGGCAAAGCAGAGCCCCCAAGTCTGGCTTGCAAAAGTGGAGGGGCCAGACAGAGTGAGTTCTAACAGCCAGTGGGACTTAACATCTGGAATGTTATAAGTCAACAGCTCTGCTCCGAGAGAGAGAGGGCTAGAAGAGGACAACGGGAGGGAGAGTTGTTGAGCCCCAGAGGACAGAGCTCAGCTCAGCAGGAAACAAAGGGGCTGGGAAGCACCATCTCCCTCGCCCATCCCCTAGCCAAAATCCCAAAGGGAAACAGTTCCCATCAGGGAACTCGCTTCACCGCGCAAACACCCAATGCTGTGCTTCTGTGGATCCACCCCTCCGATGGGTCTGCCTCCCTCCCGGTGCTTCAGGGCCCCTCCCAAAGAAGACCACCGAAGGCAAAGCCAACTGAGTCTGTCCGTCCCGCCCCCATGCATCTTGCAGATCCACCCTGACTAATACGCCAGATCCCATCGAAGCAGCACCACAAGCCTGGCAGTGTGCGAGTAGCCCAGACAGGGGCCACACCACTCCACAGTGAGTTCTGCCCCTGGGATGGGGGAAGATAAGGTACACACCAGTCTGACTGTGGCCCCAGCGGCGGGATGGGGGCAGACATCAGGTCTGACTGCGGTCCCGCCCACCAACACAAGTTACTCCAGACAGTACAGGGGAAGAGCCCAGCAGTTTCGCGCCACTCCAGGGACTATCCAAAATGACGAAACAGAAGAATTCTCCTCAAAAGAAAGTCCAGGAAGTAGCGACAGCTAACAAACTGATCAAAAACAATTTAAACAATATAACAAAATGAATTTAAAATAATAGTCATAAAATTAATTGCTGGGCTTGAAAAAAAAGTATAGAGGACAGCAAAGAATCTATACCTAGAGAGATCAAGGGACTAAGAAACAGTCAGGAGGAGCTAAAAAATGCTATAAATGAGCTGCAAAATAAAATGGAGGTGACCACAGTTCAGATTGAAGAGGCAGAGGAGAGAATAGGTGAATTAGAAGATAAAATTATGGAACAAGAGGAAACTGAGAAAAAGATAAAAAATCCAGGAGTATAAGGGGAGAATTAGAGAAGTGATGCGATAAAACACAATAATATACATATAATTGGGATTCCAGAGGAGGAAGAGACAGAGAAAGGTGCTGAAGGTGTACTTGAAGAAATCATAGCTGAGAACTTCCCGGATCTGGGGAAGGAAATAGGCACTGAAATCCAAGAGGCACAGAGTACTCCCTTCAGACGTAACTTGAATCAATCTTCTGCATGACATATCATAGTGAAACCAGCAAAATACAAGGAAAAAGAGAATATTCTGAAAGCAGCTAGGAATAATCGTGCTCTACCATATAAAGGGAGACAGATAAGACTAGTGACGGATCTATCTACTGAAACTTGGCAGGCCAGAAAAGAATGGCAGGAAATCTTCAATGTGATGAACAGAAAAAATATGCAGCCGAGAATCCTTTATCCAGCAAGTCTGTCATTTAGAATAGAAGGAGAGATAAAGATCTTCCCAAACAAACAAAAACTGAAGGAAGTCATCACCACTACACGAGCCCTACAAAAGATCCTAAGGGGGATCCTGTGAGACAAACTACCAGAGACATCACTACAAGCATGAAACCTATGCACATCACAATGACTCTAAACCCATATCTTTCAATAATAACACTGAATGTAAATGGACTAAACGCTCCAACCAAAAGACACAGGGTATCAGAATGGATAAAAAAACAAGACCCATCTATTTGCTGTCTACAAGAGACTCATTTTAGACCTGAAGACACCTTCAGATTGAAAGTGAGGGGATGGGGGGCGCCTGGGTGGCACAGTCGGTTAAGCGTCCGACTTCAGCCAGGTCACGATCTCGCGGTCCGTGAGTTTGAGCCCCACGTCAGGCTCTGGGCTAATGGCTCAGAGCCTGGAGCCTGTTTCCGATTCTGTGTCTCCCTCTCTCTCTGCCCCTCCCCCGTTCATGCTCTGTCTCTCTCTGTCCCCAAAAAAATAAATAAACGTTGAAAAAAAAAATTTAAAAAAAAAAGAAAGTGAGGGGATGGATAACTATCTATCATGCTACTGGAAGTCAAAAGAAAGCTGGAGTAGCCATACTTATATCAGACAAACTAGACTTTAAATTAAAGGCTGTAACAGGAGATGAAGAAGGGCATTATATAATAATTACAGGGTCTATTCATCAGGAAGAGCTAACAATTATAAATGTCTATGTGCCAAATACGGGAGCCCCCAAATATATAAAACAATCACAAACATAAGCAACCTTATTGAGGGGCGCCTGGGTGGCGCAGTCGGTTGAGCGTCCGACTTCAGCCAGATCACAATCTCGCGGTCCGTGAGTTCGAGCCCCACGTCAGGCTCTGGGCTGATGGCTCAGAGCCTGGAGCCTGTTTCCGATTCTGTGTCTCCCTCTCTCTCTGACCCTCCCCCGTTCATGCTCTGTCTCTCTCTGTCCCAAAAATAAATAAACGTTGATAAGCAACCTTATTGATAAGAATATGGTCACTGCAGGGGAATTTAATGCCCCACTTACAGCAATGGATACAACATCTAGACACAAGATCAATAAAAAACAAGGGCCCTGATTGATACATTGGATCAGATGGACTTGACAGATATATTTAGAACTCTGCATCTCAAAGCAACAGAATATACTTTCTTCTCAAGTGCACATGGAACATTCTCCAAGAGAGATCACATACTGGGTAACAAAACAGCCCTTCATAAGTATACAAGAATTGAGATCTTATCATGCATACTTTCAGACCAAAATGCTATGAAGCTTGCAATCAATCACGGGAAAAAGTCTGGAAAACCTCCAAAAGCATGGAGGTTAAAGAACACCCTACTAAAGAGTGAATGGGTCAACCAGGCCATTAGAGAAGAAATTTAAAAATATATGGAAACAAAGGAAAATGAAAATACAACAATCCAAATGCTTTGGGACGCAGCAAAGGCAGTCCTGAGAGGAAAATACACTGCAATCGAGGCCTATGTCCAGAAACAAGAAAAATCCCAAATAAAAAATCTAACAACACACCTAAAGGAAATAGAAGCAGAACAGCAAAGACACCCCAAACCCGGCAGAAGAAGAGAAATAATAAAGATTAGAGCAGAAATAAACAATATAGAATCTAAAAAAAAAAAACCAAAACTGTAGAGCAGATCAATGAAACCAAGAGTTGGTTTTTTTTTTTTTTATTTTTATTTTTATTTTATTTTTTTTTTAATTTTTTTTTTCAACGTTTATTTATTTTTGGGACAGAGAGAGACAGAGCATGAACGGGGGAGGGTCAGAGAGAGAGGGAGACACAGAATCTGAAGCAGGCTCCAGGCTCTGAGCCATCAGCCCAGAGCCTGACGCGGGGCTCGAACTCACGGACCGCGAGATCGTGACCTGGCTGAAGTTGGACGCTTAACCGACTGCGCCACCCAGGCACCCCAAGAGTTGGTTTTTTGAAAAAATAAATAAAATTGATAAACCTCTAGCCAGGCTTCTCAAAAAGAAAAGGGAGAGGACCTAAATAGATAAAATTATGAATGAAAATGGAATTATTACAATCAATCCCTCAGAAATACAAGCAATTATCAGGGAATACTATGAAAAATTATATGCCAACAAACTGGACAACCTGGAAGAAATGGACAAATTCCTAAACACCCACACACTTCCAAAACTCAAACAGGAAGAAATAGAACGCTTGAACAGACCCATAACCAGTGGAGAAATTGGATCAGTTATCAAAAATCTCCCAAGAAATAAGAGTCCAGGACCAGATGGCTTCCCTCGGGAAGTCTATCAGACATTTTAAGCAGGGATACTACCTATCCTTCTCAAGCTATTCCAAAAAATAGAAAGGGAAGGAAAACTTCCAGACTCATTCTATGAAGCCAGCATTACTTTGATTCCTAAACTAGACAGAGACCCAGTAACAAAAGAGAACTACAGGCCAATATCCCTGATGAATATGGATGCAAAAATTCTCCATAAGATACTAGCAAATCGAATTCAACAGCATACAAAAAGAATTATTCACCATGATCAAGTGGGATTCATTCCTGGGCTGCAGGGCTGGTTCAACATTCACAAATCAATCAACGTGATACATCACATTAATAAAAGAAAAGATAAGAACCATATGATCCTGTCAATCGATGCAGAAAAAGCATTTGACAAAATTCAGCATTCTTTCTTAATAAAAACCCTCGAGAAAGTCGGGATAGAAGGAACATACTTAAACATCATAAAAGCCATTTATGAAAAGCCCACAGCTAATATCATCCTCAATGGGGAAAAACTAAGAGCTTTCTCCCTGAGATCAAGAACACGACAGGGATGTCCACTCTCACTGCTGTTGTTTAGCATAGTATTGGAAGTTCTAGCCTCAGCAATCAGACAACAAAAGGAAATCAAAGGCATCAAAATTG